TACTTTTGAATTTTCTGTGCGCGTTGATAACAGAACGACGGATGAGGAAAATCGAGAGGCAGACATTGAAGTGCTGCGATCGTTTGGAACTGTCCATCAAGTTCTCATTGTCTTGAAATGCATATAGCAAAGAACTCGTAGAATACACTTTCCAAGCTTGTTATTCATTTACCTCTTGGTTATGTATTATTTACTTACAGAATTTGGGGCTCTAATGCTATCTTCTGAGGCTTCTATATTGAAATATTTCAGGTCATGTTCTTTTCTTGGACTCCTCCCGTGTGGGATATTTCTTTTTCTTTGAAATGTGCATTTATTAAATAGTGAGTGACAAGCCCACTGCCTCTGCACAATTTCTACTCAATCCTGATTTGTCTGCTAGAGCAATCTGGTAGTGAATCAGGAGAGACTTGGGTTGAGAAATGGCCGCTGAATTTTGATTATGAAACATCCCGTTCATGCTCATAAGATTCTTTTACATGCCGGTTTTACATCACTTAATGACGTAGTACTAGGGATTTTTATCACCTTTAAAAATCCATCGACCTCGACCGGGTTTGAACCCAGGGTCTATCGGCGAGCACGCTAAGTACTAGTCCATGAAGTACGACCTTCAGGTCATGTGTTTAGATAAATTCTATTACGTTTCTTAACAAAATATACAACAACGCAGACATGCACATTTCCTTTCTGTTGACATTATCACTACAATTCAACAGGAAGATACTAACGTTAGACAGAAATGATGTCATTTGTAAGGTAACTTATCTGACATCGTTGGAGGCCTATCGTATTGAGAAGGTGACTAAATGCTGGCCTTGAAAATACCTGTTGTATTACATGGCTAATATTTTTAATGTCCGACTGTAATTACACTTTTGGATAATAGTACACACTTTGTCCATTAATTTCATATCATATTATGCAGATTAGATTAAATTGCTGTAATTTACATTCGAGCGTTCCATTTCAGACGTAAACATATCGTGCATTTGTTTCCAAGATCATTAACATCAGACATTTACTTCGTCTATAATTTTGTAACCCACAAAATGCAAATATATTTGAAATTCCCAATCAGCAGGCTATAAATCATTCGCTGTTCTATGTAAGAATGGATATAAGTTTTGTAGCTAGACATGTCTATGTGTGCCAGGAGGACATAATATACAATTTCGAATTAAACGTGCAGATTCGATCAAATTCCGTATGAACAAAGAAGTCATTTATTGTTTGTAGAAAAATATCATAATGTTTTGTAGTCAGAGGTAATTGTGATGTATAGTCACTGATCTATGTTTTTGTAGCCACAAAATGAGAATTAGTTCGAAAGTTGTATACGAATCATTCGTTATTTTATGCGTGAATGTACATCGAGATATCAAAATGACGTTTTAGGATAGTGATATGGATGATAATGTTTTAATCAGAAGTTCTTGCCGTCTATCTTCAGTGTTAATTTTGGTGGTCATTCTCTGTCGTCACCACGACTCTAAATTCGGAACACTTTTTTTTGTGGTTCCTGTCTTTGTTCCTGTGATCTCATTGTCGGAACAAGCAACATTATTTCCGTCACCTGTCTTCTGTCATGTTTTGTTTCCGAGTTGCAGGAATTGTTTTTTTTCAACCTTTTAAGAAATCAGCATATAAAGTTCGCGGTGTCTGTCCTCGCTAACATAAAGAAATATAACGCGGGCATAACTTCAGTTTGGAACACGTGGAAAACCTCATCTATTTGAAGTCAGAACTTGATAGTGACTGTGTAACACGTGTCTAACCACCAGCATTCCAACCCCGTTCTACCTTTAACAGGCCCTCGTGATCTACACACAAAACTGGAAGTATCATTGTAAAATAAGGATTTCTGGTTAAAAAGCACATAAGGCATTTTTGCATGCAGATAGGGTGCTTAAATTTTTTTTAAGAATTTTAACCAAAATCAAAAATGCATATTCGTTTCCTTTTGACATGACCCTTCAGCCTGGTTGTTATTCTAGACAATCGCTTGCACCAATACACGTGTTCTCCAGATTTCGTGTTTTAATGTAATAAAAAAGCGTCCCACTATACGCCATGTAGGCGCTTGGGGGGAGAGGTAGTATAGCTCGTACTCATTCCTGACCTCGCCGCTAGATGGGGGTGAGTGGTCAGCATCACACCCCGGCCGCGTTATAACCCCGGAAAAGGACTCCGGGTGGGTGGGCCCCCGGGTGGGTGGGCCCCCCAGAGTCGGTCTGCACGCAAAGGCTAGGGGAAAACTCTAAGTTTTTTATTTTTTGTTAATTTAATAACAAGAAAGCTGGGGACATTTTAAGTGCTAATTTACCAAGATCATACTGATAGAAAAAAGAAACAAAGGAAGTTCTAAGTTACAAAATATGGCAATTAGAACGTTAAAAGTTGATATATTACAGTGAAATGACAGGAAGTTAAGAAAGATAAGTCGTTAAATTGCAAAAACTTGTCATTTGTGGAAAATGCTGTCTTGATATGTTTTTGACATTTAGAGTGCTTACAAATAAATTATATTTATCTCTATTAAGATAACAATATAATTTCGAATGTAGGTCAACTTTTGTTTTTTCGCTTGTTTATTCTGACAATAAAACCCGCGGGATTTCAATGTACAGCATACTTCGCTACCAGCATTGGGATCCTGTCGTTGTGTCACATTGTTGTTTTCTGAACTGCATTGTTGCGATTGGCTGACTGTGGTTGTCAACTGTTTGACTAAGCTTCGTGTGAGTATGAGCGCAAGACCTAGTCTGACGTACGGTAGACTCCGCGTTATCCGGGTTGCCTTGGAAATTTATTTTCCGAGTAATCAAAATCCCAGGTAAAAATTGAAAGGAAACGCGAAACTGTAACAAATATATAAGTTTATTTACGGAAATACATTACTTAATTTTTTAAAGATTTACTGTTAAAAAAAAGAGTTTTATTTTAAATTTAACACAAATTTAAAGAAATGATTTTAGTGGATAGTAATAATATTCTGTTGTCGTAAACTTTAGATTTTAGCAACAATTGATTTATTTTAATACGTTAAATAATATGTCAGTGTTCTATTTATACCTTTCTTTTCAAAAGTCCTAACTTTTACAACAAACTTTCTAAATTGGTTTTAATTTTAATTTAAACTGCGGTTAATCCGTGCCCTCCCCGGATAATCGTGAGTCAACTGTTTTTCGAATTTTTCATTCTTGTGTGATAAGTAATGACAAAGTTTTTCTTACTAGAAGGGAGGAGAACGCAATGGATTTTAGATTGTAGACAAGACTTCAAACTCTTTTCCTAAATTCGATATTACGAGTCGTTCGCTACTCATCCAATTAATCTCGGTTTCAGAATCAAATTAATCATTTTCACATCTGGAGGAATGTGTGAAGTTGTCTAAATATCTATTTCAAAACGTATAGGAGAGAAAATTTGATGGACAATCTACTAGGACTAAGTTTTCGAAGGAGTTACATAGTTATGTCATTTGGTTTGTTTTGATTAAGATCGTGCAGGGGGCGTGGGGCCTTGGAATTTGTTATTATGGCGGCAGGGACTCGATTATCCTTATGATCAGATACACTTTGAAAAGACGTGCTCGCTTTATACAGTCGTCCCGCCATGCTCCAGAGGTGAAACAAAATATTATAATGACTGTAGCAGGATTTGTGTCGAATTACCAGTTTTATAAGGATCTCAAATAATTAAAACTTCCTAACAAATCAGTTTTCTATAACAGATAGTTATGTGAGATGTGCTCTCTGTTTATACATTCAAGTGTTTGGTAGGTAACTCCTACGAAATCTACACGTCTCTCCAACAAGTACATGTTCGTATGTTTCGATTTTGAATGCACACAAAATTTAGAAAGGTGTCATGGAAGTTTTGAACACACATGTTTATCAAATCTCAATTGCATTCAGTAAATGTTTCTGAAAACATTAACGATATTTGTTAAGTCTGTGTCCAGTGCAGTAAGAGGCGACAAGTGGTTTGGTATGGCTCTTGTATTTTAATATTTTAATATTTTCCGTCAAATCACAATTTTAATAAGATAATAAAATATAAAATATTTAAAATATCATTTCACGTTCCGCATCGAATGATCGATT